GCTAAGGTGATGATAAGTATTGCGCAGCCTCCCCATCCTTGTTAGATTACGGAAGCTTGCAGACTTCAGTTTGTCGTGGATTGCTGGTAACTTCTGCATTACTCCATTTTCTGTCTTCTTCATTGTCTCCCAATTGTGGTTGTGGATAATATGGTTTTCATCTTGAAAGAAACCCAAATAAAGAATCTTCAAAAATCTTCACTACGACTTAACATCTGCTGTCCACGTCACTGTTGTTTTACCAGAGTTATAAGCCATCATCACTACCTTTTTTTTTGTTCGTCTTCAAAACAACAAGAAGAACAAATCCATTAATTTGTACTTGATTAATATTAATAATAAAAAATCACAAATGAATTGAAATGTTTGATAATAATGTTTACCTAACTTGAGGGAGAATCATGGAATAAATATAGTAAGTAACAAGTGAAGTGATCAAACACCAACACATGTATGTAAAAATTTCTATCAAGTGTCAAATTGCCATTTAAATCAACGAATCCAAATTTAACATTTTATAGTAGAGCTCATTTTTGTCGAGAAGAAGTGTAGTCTTCAAAAGAGAGTAGAAAAAATGTTTTGTAAACTCACATGAGTAATCTTTATTAGTGAGTGGAGGAGAGACGTAAAGCAAAATGATGAAAACTTCCAATTTCTACTAAAATTATAATGAAATCTCAGCACCAGAAATTAATTTTAGTAGAAATTGGTACACATAGGAAGTTTGTAAAGTACAACACTCTGTAGATTTTTGTAGAAATTATGTGCTTCAGAAATCTTGGGCTTCTATTAAATATTTCAATTTATGCCCAGTTTGGTGAGAAGTCCAAGTTCGGCACCTTGGGCTTAACTTAAGATTTTTTTTTTTTTTTTTTTTTTTTATATATCCTGATAAAGAATCAACAACCTCTAGGCTTGAGACAAGTTCTGTTGAAATTAAGCCCAAACTAATTAAACTATCACAAATCTAATAACCATGATCAGTAACACACCCATGGAAATACTCAGCACACCCAAACTTGTTCAAGCTCAGCCGACACCCATGCAATTCCTCAACACACCCAAGCCAGCGCTTTGGTACAATGTTGCCATTAATGAATATAAAGTCGGAAAATTTTGGTCTTTTCCGATACTTGCCAAAACTGAAACAACTTTTTCGGTTTTGAATTTTCCCATTTTCTAATCTTAAAAATCAATTACTAAAATTTTAAAAGAAATTAGGTGGGTAATACCAAATGGCATGCCTATTCGAGTGCCCTCCTTTTTTTATAGTTCAAGATTACTTTGCCAAAGGATCAAATCACTTTTTAAATTACGTCGCATGAGTAAAATTTAGGTAGATGATAAGTTCACGAAAAGTCCCTTAATAGAAACCAGGCTGCAGAAGTTGACTGATAGCTCTTGGCATTTGTGTGCTTGGCAGGAAAGAGTTCCAGTAAAGTTGAGGTACTGGGAGAGCAGCATGGCTTGCCAGAGCCACCATTGTCAGCTGCAACATTAATTTGAACTCTCATTACTATGTATGAGATCACAAATTGAAATGAATTATTAAATTAAAAGATAAGTACTCAGCGCATTTTTCTGTTTAATACTCGTATTATACACGTACATATATATTTTTCAATAATACTTCCATTTTCCATATACGGTTAAAGACTCGGTAAAATACAAAGTTTGTTAAAAAGTAATGTACAATACACGTTTTATACATATACGAACATATTTTTCACATTTAATAATGTTTTTTTTTAACAAACTTTTGAATAATACATACAAAATTCATATATTATACACCTATTTTTCACATATTATTGAATAAAAATAATATATATTAAAAAAATTATATAGTGGCCAAACTTTTCAGATGTATCTTGTCAAAATTTTGCTGAATAAAACATGTGCATATTTTATTCGTACTTTTTCCGTTCCATATTTTACTAACAGTGAGATATTGGAAATATTAATTATGAAAGTGCAAAGCTTACATTGAGAAATCCCCCTCTCCTCTAATCTTGTGCTTCAAAAAAAGCTTACACTGAGAAGAGCAAAGATGAGTGGTAGATGGAAACCCGTTAAGACTGAAATACTTATGCTACAGAAAGGTGGTGAATATGAAGGAAAAAAGATAACTAATATATATAAGATCTTTTTTTTTTTTTTTTTTTTTTTTTTTTTAAATAACAAATTAAGTCATCAAACACTGACAAAGAAAGTAAAACCACTTTAGTTCATCAAATCCAAATTTTGATCTGTATTAGTGATCGGAGGAGAGACCTGAATTTTAATCAATTAAATCAACTTTTAAATCTTACAATTACCTGATACAATTGTGGTATTATTAAGAGAAAATTTCTGTTACATCTACGGCTGGAGAAAGCAATCTGCAAGTGAGCAGATGCGAATTCCTTTCCTTCTGTTTTTCTACTTTTTATTCTTTTCATTTTATAATATTTCTTCTGGATTAATGTATTGTTCTATAAATTGCTATATATATTGTTCTATAAATTCCTTTCCTTGTGTTTCATGGTATGTTTTGATTTGGTATTTGCTTTGTAATCTAAATTTCAAGAACTAAATTGACACACTGGTCAAAGTTGAGGGGGTTCTTTGTATTTTATAGTGAGATTGATCTTGCTTCCGTTGTAGAAATTTCTAATTGTGTTTGCATATGCTATATGAGCATGCAAACTTAAATACTATTTAGGGAGGCACTTGTATGCTTTACATGATGGATTAGATTAGTACTGGAATTTGATGCTTTAAATGATGTGATAAAGGAAGTTTGCTTTGGTGTTACAGACAGAGCATGGAAAATATGTTGTTTTGCGTCTTGGTATGTTTCTGGATACATTAATTCTTTATAGTTTGAGGACTTTGATATAAATGAAGGCTTCTCTAACTACATGCATTAGCAGCCTATTCCAACGTAACAATTCAACACTCAAACATTGGGTACAACCACAAAGCCAAAGCATATATAAAAAAAATATATAGATTAATATCTCTTCATAAATATAGCATGCTTCAGGAGTACAAGTTGAAGTCTTACAAGAGAAAACATGATCGGGTTAATTTCTGTAATCTGTGCTTTTTAGGCAACCCGACCACTAATCCTGAAAACTTCATCTCATCATATATCTTACACCACATGATGAAGAGGCAGAAATAAGTAGGGAGATAATTATGCAGGCCTAGGGTGCAACCCGACCAAGCTTATTATACGTACAGTGCTAAGTGATGATATAAATGAAGGCTTCTCTAAATATGTTGTTTTCCAACGTAACAATTCAACACTCAAACATTGGGGAGAACGAAATTAAGTAGAACCACAACAGCATGCTTTATTATGAGTACAAGTTGAAGTCTATATAGTTACAAGAGAAAACATGATCGGGTTAATTTCAAGCAGTTTCTATAATCTGTGTTTTTCAGGCAACCCGACCACTAATCCCAAAAACTTCATCTCATCATATATCTTACACCACATAATGAAGAGGCAGAAATAAGTAGGGAAATAATTATACAGGGGTGCAACCCGACCAAGCTTATTATAGGTACAGTGCTAAGTGATGATCATGCAGATTATTTGTGGTTCGGAACCCAGGCAATAGCATCAGTGGAAATGAAATGGCAGATGGGAATGGTTCCGGGCTTAACGTTGACGATTTGGAAGGACACATGCTCTGGGTTCCATTCTGATGTGTCTAGATGGCAGATGGTTACTGCTTTAACCTTCTCCCCATCATCGCCTTTCAGGGAGAGAACATAAGCTGCTGTATGTTTTATTGCATGGCAGAAAAACACAGCATAGGGATAGTTCTGCTTATGACACACAACGACTTTGTCGCCTGCCAACTTCTTCAGTCCCGGCATTGTTGTATAGTTGTGGATGGACATGGTGGCTCCTTTTTCCAATACCTCCGTCGAGATTGCTTCAACGTTTCTTGTTCCAAGCTTCGAAGTGCTAAAATCAACCATTGATTCTAAAGATGTGGCGCAATATATTTCCTCTCCCTTGAGGCCTGGAGCTTCACACTCTTCGATTGTTTGCTTAATTGTTTTGGCTTCCTCAGATGTTGGCTTCACTGAAAAATGGTTGAAAATTTCTGGTAGTTTCTTAGAGGAGAAGGGGATCGATTGAGCGCTTTCTCGTGGCAGGAAAGTAGCCGTGTTTAAATTTCTAGGGAATTGGAACTTCATTGTTGTGCCAGGGCGCATGTCCTTCTCCAAGAAGAAAATAGCTAAGTCTTTATTGCCCAATGAAGCACCTGTTTGCGTGTAATGTTTTTGAGTGTAATGTTTATTGCCCAATGGGTAAGTTTCAGGTTTGCCTTTTCCATAGTGTTTTTGAGTGTAATGTTTATTGCCCAATGGGAAAGTTTCAGGTTTGCCTTTTCCATAGTGTTTTTGAGTGTAATGTTTATTGCCCAATGGGAAAGTTTCAGGTTTGCTGATTCCATACCCTTTTTGAGTGTAATGTTTATTGCCCAATGGGAAACTTTCCGGTTTGCCCTTTCCATTGCCCTTTTCTTCATTTGTGGAGTCTGCAAATTATACATCAACGTCATAATGGAAAATAAGTGATCAGCCGATTTGTGAATATGTGTCTCTCATGTAATGACAGTAGTTAACTGATAAATATGTGGTCGCACAAATTTTAGTAAAATGGCAGGTAGAAAAGATATCTAAGATTCTAAAGTGCTCAACACAAACCGGGATGCAGAAGTTCACTGATAGATCTTGGCATCTGTGTGTTTGGCAGGACCGAGTTCCAGTAAAGTTGAGGTGCTGGTTGAGCAGCATGGTTTGCCAGTGCAACCGCTGCTAGCTGCAACATTAATTCGAACTCTAATTAAAATCAAATCTCACAAAGTGTAATTAATTAGTGGACGACACTAGTGTACGTACTAAATAAAATCGGAGAGAATTATAGGAACACAAAACTTTCGTTTAAGTACAATGAGAGAGAATGGAAAAGTTAATCAAATTGCAGAGCTTACACTGAGAATAGCGAAGATGAGTGGGAGATGAAACTCCATTAGGACTGAAATTAACTTGGCAATAAATGTAGCTAGTGGATATGAAGCAAGAAATTAAAGAAAGTCGGAGCTGGCTCCTATGGTAACAATAGCAACTGGCTTCACCATTTTATAGACGAATGATGAGGGGTACCCAGGAAGTAACACTCCACCCACCGATATAGGGCTTAATTACATCTCACTGCCTCACTCACTTAAATTCATTTGAGGCAAGTGGCTTGATGTGATGTATCAGACATAATTCTGAATCAAATTCAATTGTTGCACGCGGGAAAAAGGTACTAAAGGTTCTTGAGGTAAAACCTCACAGCTGGATGGTCCATAAAATACATGATTAATCATAATGGATCGGTTTTTGTCGCAAATTAGAACCGAATCCGATACTATTTATCTGGTTTGGTTCGGTTTGGTTTAAACAAATTTCAAAAACTTTCCAGTTCGGGTTGAACTAGTTTCAGTCCAGTTTGGTTTTGAACTGGATTATTAAAATAAATTTTTTAATACAAATTTCAACTGAAATTTTATTTTTTTGACTTGAAAATTAATAAATTATTTAATTTCATATAAAAATAAATATTAAAGCTAGAAAAGAGAGATGTTTTGAAATTGAACTTGGATAAATATTAGTTATGAGATTAAAAATATAGCATTGAATATAAATAAATATTGAAATTATATATTTTTTAATTTGACTATTCGGTCCGGTTTTTGAAGATAGAACCGGATCCAAAACCAGTCCGGTTTGGTTTTTGACCGGTTTTTGAGTTTTTGGTCAACTCGATTTTTTTCTTGTTTTTTTCGGTGTTGTTCGGCTCGGATTTCCAATTTGCCGATTTGAATGCCCACCCCTATGTCCATGTATAATTAGAGGGTACAATTATTGGCATCAGCAATCCTACAATGCATCCTCTAGATCTTTTCCCTTTCCAATTTATGCTTTATTAATTTTACTTGATTTTCCTTGGTTCAGAAAATTCCCAGAAAACAAAAGATCTTATTTCCTTGGAGCAATAATCTTTATTTTATAATATATATGATAATAGATTGATTTTAATTTTAATTTTTCAATACATATATATATATATATATGTATATATATATATATAGGGAGCTGATTTCCCCATTCCCTTTTTCTCCATTTACACTCCCTTTTGCTTTTTAAAACTTTTTTTATTTATTTATTTATCAATTTTGTTCATTCTTTTTTCTATTCTACCTTTACCCTACATTAATTTGTTTTTTACTTTACTTTTATATTATTTCTTTTTCTTTATACTCAATTTTCTAACTTACACTCCATTTTTAGTATTAAATGGGGAAAAAAAACTTAATTTCTTACTCGATTAAAGGAAAAAAAATACTGAAAATGGAGTTCAAGTTGGAAAATTATGTATAAAGAAAAAGAACTGATATAAAAGTGAAGTAAAAAGAAATTAATGTAGGCACTGCTGTCGGCGGTGGACACCCTTGGGTCTAACCAAAAAAAAAGAAAAAAAAAGAAATTAATGTAGGGAAATGGTAGAATATTAATAGGAAAGCTGAAAAAAATTTGATTAAAAAGTATTTAAAAGCAAAAGGGAGTATAAATAGAGAAAAGGGGAGTGGAGAAATCATATCCCTATAAATATATATACTAAAATTGGAAAGCCTCCTGGCCTACAACATATTGGTCTTGTGGTGTAGGTGGTGGCTAAGGTGATAAGTATTGCGCAGCCTCCCCATCCTCCTTATATTACAAAAGCTTGCAGACGTCAGTTTCTCGTGGGTTGCTGGTAACATACATTACTCCAATTTCTGTCTTCTTCATTGTGGCCCAATTGTGATGAACAGCCAAAGATTGTCTGCCACTTGTGGTTGTGGTTGTGGATATGGTTTTCATCTTGAAAGAAACCCAAATAAAGAATCTTCAAATGAAGGTATATAAACTTAACCAATCAAAGAAACCCAAAAATCTATATAAACTTAACCAATTAAGGAAACCCAAAAATCTTCAGTACGACGTAACATTATCACTCTTGTTTTACCAGAGTTATAAGCCTTCGCTACTTTTTTTTGTTGGTCTGCCTCCCACCACTTTGTAGATTTTGCAGAAGTTATGTGCTTCAGAAATAATCTTGGGCTTCCATTGCGTATATTAATTTGTGCACAGTTTGAGCTTGTATTAAATATATCAATTTGTCATATTTTTCTTCCTCACGTTGGTGAGAAGTCTAACTCATGTTTGCTCTTCCTTTTCTGTAATCAACGAAATGGAAAATGTGGAACACATTTCCATTACTTGAATATGGAAGATCAAGGGAAAAAAAAGGAGTAAATTACCGAATACCCCCATGAATTATCACACTTGTTGAAATCTACATCATGAATTAATCTTTCAGCCAATTTAGCCCTTGTATTAAATTTATTCGTCAATTTCGCCCCTATGATTAGCTTTTTGACATGACCCGCCTCGAATTCCTACCGTCTAATTTTTTGTTAGATTTAACCTAATTTTAGGGTAAATAATGACCAATTTACCCTCACATTTAACAGAAATATTGACAAAATGTAACGGTAGGACCAATGAAGCAAATAATATAGAGTTGATGGACCATTTGAACGAATAATTTAATTGAGAGACCAAAATGTAAATCGAGTATAAGTTTGAGGACCATTTGAGTAATTTATCCAATATTTATTTTATAATATATATGATAATAGATTGATTTTTATTTTATTTTTTCAATCTATATATATTTTTGATGCGGTTCAACACTTTTGGGCTCAACTTAGTGATGTCTTGACCTTCAACTCTTTCTAAGCTTCGGTAGAGCGATCAATCTGCAAGATAGAGAACGCTCGGTATGCTCTTGGGCACCGGTGTGGTACCGGCCGAAAGCTCTCCAATGCTTAATTAAGAATAAGTACGGAGTGTATAGTAATCTGGACAGAGTAATGGCTGAATTGCTGAAAGTCCAAGTTCCCCCATTTTTGGGACTTGTGCCCACTTTTATAAGTCTTGGGGAGTGTACATGTTATGTTAAAACTTCGATGTGGGACTGTTGATATTACTTGTGGTGGCTCCACGTGTCCTAGCATATAAGTTCCTGGTAAGGGGTCTTGTGTTGAGCTCGGCAGTAAAGGTTACTGAACACTCCCCTACCGATGGCGCTTTTCAGTCCACATGTGACCTCTGTATTGGTCGATCTAATTGGGTGTAAAACCTCACAATTGGATTGGTCCATAAAATACATAGTTAATCATAATGGACTAAAGTGGTTAAATTTGAGATAACATTGATGGGTATCTTTCCCTAAGAATGGGTGGATGTGTATTGCAACAAGTGGTATGAGAGCAATAATTGGCCTGGGACACTTGAGTTTTAGGTGCATCGTTCAGAATTGAAGATTTACACAATAGGTTTTCAATCAAGAGGGGGTGGAGAGCCCGCTAGGAACAAATATTTTAGGACGACATGTCATGAAAACAAAAAAATATATGTCCCTATATATTTAGAGGGTACAATTATTGGCATGTGCAATCCTACAATGCATCTCTAGATTTTTTCCCTTTCCATTATGCTTTATTAATTTTACTTGATTTTCCTTGGTTCTGAAAATTCCCAGAAAACAAAAGATCTTATAAATCCAGCTAACCATGTTTCAGCTCTAGTCAATGACTTGAAGCACACAAAATCTACTTCACACTTTGTAACAGGGCATGCAAGTGCATGGAGGATGGAGCAATAATCTTTATTTTATAATATATATATGATAATAGATGGATTTTTATTTTATTTTTTTCACTCCATATATATATATATTAAAATTGGAAAGCCTCCTGGCCTACACATTTTGGTCTTGTGGTGTTGGTGGTGGCTAAGGTGATAAGTATTTGGCAGCCTCTCCCTTATGTCTTCTTCATTGTCTCTCAATTGTGATGAACAGCCAAAGATGTCTGCCAGTTGTGGATATGGTTTTCGTCTTGAAAGAAACCCAAATAAAGAATCTTCAAATTTTTTAGTGAAAATTTATCTAAAAACAAACAAAAGCTATTTTAAGAGTTCTTTATAAAATTTGAACTCCAATCATACTCCTTAATTTAGAGAGTCATAAATACTTTAATTATTTTTTAATTTAATATAATTGGTCCATCTGTATACAAAATATTATAAAAAAATAATTTGATTTAATTAAAAGTTTAAAATATGCATAAAACAAAGCAACATTAAATTATAGGGAGTCACTAGGAGTCCTTTCCCTCTCCTTATATTTAGGAACTCCTAGAGGTCTCCCTATTTTAGTTGGTGGATAGGGAGCATGGTTGGAGTTGTACTTTTCTAATTTCTCCCTAAAATTTGTCTAAGGAGATGGTTTAGGGAGCTCATTGTGGATGCTTTAACTTTGGTAAAACATGAGTGATGTGGACAGCATAGGTTACGACTGGCTATTGATATTAATTTTCTAGTTTCAAAATATCCAACATATAGCCATGCGGCTATACCTTTTAAATATAATGCATTTAAATAGTATAGCCGGGTAGCTATAGTACGATTTTTTTATAAAAAAATAGTAGCGCCGAGCGGCTGTACTTATTATTGACACGTGGCGCCTAATCGATGGACTGTCTTCTTTTTAAAATTAAAAAAATAGTACAGCCACCTGGCTATACTCCGTGTTTTTTAATTTTTTTTAAAAATAGACTTCTGGTCTGTTGACACGTGTGGTTTTCAATTGAGAGGGGGTGGAGAGCCCACTAGGAACAAATATTTTAGGACGACATGTCATGAAAACAAAAAAATATGTCCCTATATATTTAGAGGGTACAATTATTGGCATGTGCAATCCTACAATGCATCCTCTAGATCTTTTCCCTTTCCATTATGCTTTATTAATTTTACTTGATTTTCCTTGGTTCTGAAAATTCCCAGAAAACAAAAGATCTTATAAATCCAGCTAACCATGTTTCAGCTCTAGTCAATGACTTGAAGCACACATAATCTACTTCACACTTTGTAAGAG